TCAATGACTTTTCCACTCTTTCTCTCTCACCATGAGACACACGCAGGGGAGGGAGTAACCGGAGCATTTGGCTTGTTGCTTTGCAAACGGCTCGCCATTTAATGGGGCACAGAGTGAAGGACTTCAGACTTTGCCATTCCTTGCCCGTACACATCCCAGGAGGCATTTGGTATCAGTTGACTTTTTGCAAACCGGGGATTCTGGGAGATTCCCAGCCCCTTCCACAAATGTTTTCGGGTGAGGCATGCCTGTGATAACACCTTCCCCCACTTGAGCGCCGTCATAAAGATTACCCAGTGGTGCCTTCTGAACAGCATCCCTGAACTTGTGTTGAGAGCAACGCTCCCTCTAAGCTGTGGAGTCTTGTGAGCAAAAATTCTACTTTGTGAGCTACTGGCATTAAAGTTGTGAGTGAGCGATTTGGCTGCTGCATAAGTTAGTTTGCTCTGGAGCCATCCTTCCTGAGCCAAGACAAAAATGCATGAGCTGGAGGCTAAATGTGAGCTAGCTCACACTAACTCAGCTTAGAGGGAACACTGGTTGCAAGCATAGTGGCAAGCAGATAAATGTTTTGAGAAGTGCAAAGGTAGTGAAGCAATGTGCACACGCGCGCACACACACAAACATACTCCTAAACCCACAAGTGCAATGAAGTCTACCAGGACCTTTCTGGCTTTTGAGAGTTCACAGGGCATTGCTGGTTAGCATACTGGACTGGGTTGGAGTGGTCGTAGTGCCAGACAAGGATGTGGGATGTCCGGGTTTGAACCCCCACTGCCATGGAAGTTCGCTGGATGACCTTGGGTCGGTCACCGTCTCTCAGCCTGTTGTGAGGATAAGGTGGAGGTGGAAGGGAAAATGGTGTGAAACGCTGCTTTGGGTCCTGACTGGGGAGAAAAGTGGGGCTTATAAATAAAAAAATAACAAGACACGCACGTTCAAGCCTATATGTATCCTCAGGGTTTGGAAGCTTTTTAAAAATGAAATTTAAATGTTTTTAAAGAAATGAAATTTATGTATTTTTAGATGCCACGTTCTGCATGCAACTCCAATGCACAGAGTAGTTGAAGAATACGTACACATCGCCCTGGGAAAAAGTCCATGTCTTCCCTTCCCCCCACTAAGGCCATAATTTTGGCAAGAAATGCAGCGTGGCCATTCCTGCCTGCACACCAGAGCCTCCAAGTTGCCCCACTTCCACTGAGAAGGGACCTTAACAGCAGTTCGGCACAGTGACGTGTATTTAATATTTCATATACTCAGATTTCCACTGAATGTTTCAATGCATAAAAGGAAAAATTCGAACTCCCCCCTGCCCCTAAAAAGCGAGGCCTGAAGATCTGGGCTGGGGGAAAAAAGAAACCGATTTCTTGAAATTTAATTGTACAGGGGGCTTATGGAATTGACTGAAAGCTTAGCTTCTTACAATTCCCACTGAATGAGGAATGTTCCTGACAATCAATCAATGATAGGGTAATCACTCTTTATTCTCTTCTCTCCCCCCCCCCTTTCCTCTCATTGTTACCTTCTTTATTTCGGGAGAACAGGGCTCAGAAACTAAAAATCTTTATAGACGCCACTTTTAAATTAAGCAGAAAATAGACATTGACATATTTGTTAATCTCACCTGGATCATTACTGGAGCTGGCATGGTTTGCCTTGACAACATGAAGACAGCATGTAGGCCAGAATACTTGAGTGCTTAGACTGAATTGTGTGTGTGGAGTGGAGTGGTCGGTGTGGTTAGAGTGCCAGACTTACATCTGGGAGACCCAGGTTCAAATCCCTACTCTGCGGTGACTTTGGGCCAGTCGCACTGGGGTGGATCCTACCCCTGTCCTACCATCTCCACTGAGCAAAGCTTAGTTACTGAGGTATGCATGCCCCAGCTTTCCTTTTGGTTCTAGTCTGAAGCCTTCCTTTAATCTCAGGAGCCTTCCATTGGAAGAAGAGCTGCTTAAGTTAGAGGAAGGCTGTTTGGAGGATTTTTGGATCCACCAGTCTCTCCCCCACTTATCCTACCTCACAGGGGTGGTCCCCATTAGGAAGGTAAGCAGAGTGTGAATGAACGAATGAGCATGTGTGTGTGTGTGTGTGTTTAGTTAGTGCAAACACACTAGAATCCAGTATTTAAAAATAGTTGTGGCACTGCGGAGGCATGCACTCACACGCACCCAATGCCGGTCAGTGTGAAAATACAATCTTGCAGTTGTCACACATGTGAATGCCAGGGCCTGAGATGCAATTTAAACGTTCGTTGGTTTTAAACTGGGCTTCAGTTCTGCGTGCACTCCTTTTATTTACAATGAGAATTTCCTGCCCTTTCCCTGAAAGGGCTCAGGGCTTGGCACACCATTTCCCTTTCCACCCCCTTCCCTCCACCCCTCCCTCCACCAGATTCTCTTTCCCGTCTGCCCAAGCCACCTTTCCTGACCCAGTTTCCCCTGCCTCTTTTGCCCGTTACCACGACTCAGCTTGAAGTCTTCCTTCGCCCACTCTGCCAAGACTGGCTTAAAATGTTGGCGGGTGAGGAGAGGGTAGAGAAATTGCCACGTGGCCAGCTCCTGGAAACGGATTGGTCCCTTCCTCCAGCCTGTGCCCAGCACATGGGCACCCGATGTCCACCAGACGGGCAGTCTCTGCTCCCTTGCCCCTTCCTATTCCAAGGGATGCAACTGTTAGAACTCCAGCCGTGGGCTTCAGCTGCATTTGGGTTACTTGAAACCATTTGCAGATGGCAGCTCTGGCTTGCAGGCAGGGGGGATGGTTAATTCCTCCCCCTGCCCTTCCGTCGTTTGTTGTTTGGGCAATCAAATCCCCTGGTGGGGGTTTCGAAGGCAAGAGAGGCTCACTCGTGGTTTGCTGTGGCCTGCCTCTGTGTCACGACCCTGGTATTCCTTGGTGGTCTCCCATCCAAGGGTTAGCCAGGGCCGACCCTGCTGAGCATCTCAGGTCCGACGAAATCAAGCTAGGCTGGGCTACCCCTGTCTAAACCACTCACCTGAAACTGGTATTTCCCCTGTGGTGGAAAATATAGAAGCACTAGGCCGATACTAAAGGTTTTCCCCCCTGCATTGGGATTTAGAAAGAGGGCAGGTAAGAGTGGTTTTTACTCCCTCCCAGCGTTCCCTCTAAGCTGAGTTAGTGTGAGCTAGCTCACAGTTTTTTAGCCTCCGGCTCACACATTTTTGTCTCAGCTTAGGAAGGATGGCTCCAGAGCAAACTAATTTATACAGTAACCAAATCGCTCAATCACAACTTTAATGCCAGCAGCTCACAAAGTAGAACGTTTGCTCACAAGACTCCACAGCTTAGAGGGAGTATTGCTCCCCCCCCCCATTTTACTTCTTTGACCACTCCCTTCAACATTTGTCTTGAATTTTGAATTTCTTATTTTTTTCCTTTTTTGGCATTATAGTTCTCCCAAATGTAAGCTGTCGTTTTTTAAAGCATTATCAGTGCATTAGATGGATTTTCAAAGAAACAAACCAAAAGTCATCCCGCTGTAGGTGTGTGGGCAGGTTTTTGTTTTGTATTTGCCGGTGAAGGAGCTGTCCGTGGTGCTGACTCTACCGTGTCTCTTCTCTCAATCGTTTATTTTTGTATTTTCTGCTTCTCAAGTTTTTATGCGGGCCTGGGATGCTTCATATTTTATTAATTATTCTTTACACAGTGCCATCTGAGTGTGTGGCACCTTGCAGTTATAGGGGGAATAAATAGAGACAGGGATTTGGCGGTGTATGCACCACTGTGCAGGCGACACTGTTCTATTAGCTGTGTTTTCAAAAATGGGGAAATCCAAAAAAATGTTGCTTTATTGAGTGCTGAGAGGATGTTCTGGGATTATAACAATTGGTTTCCAGAGAGCAAAGTTCTAACCCCATATTTAGCAGGTGAAAAGTTTTCTTTCTTCCTTTCTTTTTAATCCTGTTTGTACAGAACGTGTAAGCAGTTTGGATTTTCTCTTCCTTATCCCTTGGACTGTGCCATATTTTGGCTACAGAAGGAGTTTCTCCTTCCCATACAGCTTTGCTTTGCCCAGTATAAGAATGGCTTGGCTCAGTTGCTTAAGCTATCAACCTCTGAGTATCCTCTGTCTGTCTTATCTGCTTGATATCATTTCTGTGTTCAAGATACCAGGGATTTTTATTTTTTTAAGACAGCAAAATAGAAGTCTGTATCTTCATTAGTGATGTAGAAGAAGTGGATAAAGATTCTTTTATTTTTATGCACCACAGTATCAGAGCTCAGGGTCACTCCAAGCATGTCTTCACACAATGTGAAATTATATGTTGCAAAACTCCGCTATTACACGGTAATGAGAATGTCCATTCACTTTGAGGATTTTATTTTATTTGTTTAAAAAAGACTTTATTTCCAGAGGTTAGGCTTGTCAACACCTGTTAGCCGAAACAGTTAAATGGTGCCTCTGTGTTTCAAAAGAGCGTACCAGGTACTGTGGACAAGCAACTGTGAAACGACATCTCCATCATTCTCTTCTTGTTACCCTTCTTAGAGGTCTCTACCTCTTCCACTGGTCATTGATTCCTTGGCCTTCTTTCCTTCCATTCATTCTCCCACGCCTTGCTTTAGGATTTTAAGCACACTTAAAACCGAGATCTTGGAAGCACAGGAGATTTCTCCATGTCAGCTGCCAACTATGTAGGTTCTGTGCTTATGTGGCATAAATGCTTCTCTGTCAGGTTTTCTGGACCTCACCTTCGATTTTACATGCAGCTTTGATTCAGTCTCGCTGGGTCCCTTTGCTGAATCCTGGGGCAAGGCGAGGATGAGGACGTCTCCAGTGGCACGAGGGCAAGGCCGGGGCTGTGGAATTGCTCCTTTCATCTGTGACTGCACCCGAGTAAACGTTTGTTTTTTAAGCTCTGAGACCCAGCGGAGACGGTCTTTTCTTCCCAGGCCCAATCGCTCTTTGCTTGTGCCTCTTTCTCTGTCTCATCTCCCAGGGTCTCTGACAGCCGTCTTTTGTTTGATTTCAGGCACCCCGGAGCTAAGCCCAGCTGAGCGGAAGGAACTCGAGACTAAGCTGAAGGAACGGGAAGAATTCCTAATTCCCATTTACCATCAGGTAGCCGTGCAGTTTGCTGACTTGCACGACACGCCCGGCCGGATGCAGGAGAAGGGTGTCATTACGGTAAGTATTATGAATCCTTTCCTTTGCTGCTGCTGTCAAAAGCCCCAGCGTGTGCGGACATGCGTTGAATTGTAGCCGAGGCAGTCACCGTAGACCGAAATTCCAGAAGTGGTCTGGTGGGAAAGAGGGCCCTGGCCAGCCTTGGGGTGTTCTGAAAATCCTGCCATTTGCATTAAAATGAAAACAGGAGCAAGCTTATTGGGGTCACAGGTTCCATTTCATCCCTTAAAAGGGCATCACTTGCTCCACCGCACGGGCTGTGCATGGCTCCCTCTCTCCTGGCTTTCTAGTCCCCTCTGCTCTAGAGGGGAAGGGGCGCTGCATCCAACTTCCTTGATCTTCTTTGTGGCCTCTGTGCAGTCCCACACATGGTCTGGGCACCTGAGCACGACCTCACCCAGATAAATTTCTAGCGCTTGCCTCAGAGTATGTTTCCCACTCTACGGAGCAGGCGCGCACTGCGCATGCCTGAAGTGGGCAAGCCTCCAACTCAGCCACCTCCAACTCCGTTTCTTTGAGCGCCCTTGTGCTCACACCTCTCCTTCGTTGCTCCTTGCTTCACCCCAGCTAAGTCCTTAGTTCTTCTTTATTCATCCTTCTCGTCTTCGCTTCTTGTTCTTCGACATTGTTTTCTCTTTCCCTGTCCTTCTTTCTTCGCACTCCCCCTTTTTTTTCACCCCTTCCCTCCTTTTCCCTGGTCGGGAAGGTATGTGTATGGGATGCACTCTCTTTTTAAAAGAGTGCTGGCATTGCCTCTCAAAGCTTCGGTAGAACGATGGGCACGATTTGTGCCTTCTCTGTTTAGGGGAGCAACATTGTGTGGATGGTAACATTGTGTGGACGGTTGCCCTCACTGCTCTAAGTTTACTTGTCAGGCCCATAGGAATTGAATGGTGCAATTGAAGGCCATTTTTTTTTTGGAATCTGCACTTCGTCTTGAGATATCCTCGGTGGCCTCTAGATCTTCCTCAGTTCCTGCCCAAGCACCAGAAACTACGGCCTCTGCTGCCTCCATGAATGCCTGCATCCATTCTTACCTTTCATATTTGGTGGCATATGCCTACAGTGTGGCTTCTGTGGTTCCACCTGTTTTAGACACTGTGCCAGAGGATGTTCGTCCTATCTTGTCCGCTGCACTCTCTGAGATCTGTGCCGTCTCTGGACAGCAAATAAATTACATGCATCATGTGGTTGCGTGCTCTTCTAAGACTCTGGTTTCATCCATAACTCTTTGCTGATGCACCTGGTTACAATTGACCTCCCTTCAGACGGACATCAGGTTCAAAACTGAGGACCTTCCCTTCGATGGAGAAGACATTTTCCACATCTCCACTGACGACATGTTGAAGGCTATTGACTACAGTCGCAAGAAAGCGAGGAACTTGAGAGTCTCTCAAACTGCCTCGCAACAACTTTCCATCATTTTGTCATCACACCACCTTCTCCTCCATTCCAGAAAAAAATAGACTCTCTCCTTGACAAGGGGGCCATCGAGATGGTTCTGGTGGTGGAACGGATTCTCAGCTTCTACTCCAAGTACTTCACAGTTCCCAAAAGAGACGGTAGCAATTATGGATCTCTGTGATCTGAATGTCTTCATCAGATACGAAAGGTTTTGCGTGATTACTCTTCAATCCATTCTGCCCCTTTTGCCAAAGGATGGGTGGTTGGCATCCATCGACCTGCACAATGCCTACTTCCCCATAACCATTTGTCCTCAGCATTGGAAGTTTCTTTGGTTTGCAGTTGGAGCCCACCACTACCAGTACCAGGTCCTCCTTTTCAGGTTCTCCACTGCTCCCCATGTCTTCACCAAGACAATGGCGGTGGTTGTTGCAGCCCTTCATTGGAATGGTGGTCGCTCCCTCAGTGTCTCAACTGCAGGTGGATGTTCAGGTGACCCCCTTCTGACTTCCCACAGTGCTCAAACTTCTCATTCTCCCTTAGGTCAACCCCTTTCCCAATTCTTTAATATTATATATTTATTACAGGTACCGTATCTCTTTATCTATAAATCTATATATACGTTTAAACTTAATCTAGATAATAGTTCTCAGTCTTAATAATTGTCTAAGCAAAATAACATCCCAGTATTTCTCCATATAATCTTTAAAGTCCTTCCAATCTGCAAAAAAGTCTTCTGCTTCTTGATTTTTGAGTTTTCTTGTCATTTTGTCCATTTCAACCATAAAAAGTAACTTCTTTAACCACTCCCAAATATCAGGAGTTTTTTCTTGCTTCCAGCATTGAGCGTACGTCATTCTAGCAGTTGTAATCATATACCACATTAATGTTCGTTTTGCAATATTGACTTCTTCCATTCTCAGTCCCAGAAGAAACACTTCCGGTTCCTTCTTAATTTTGCATTTCATAATTTTTTCCATCTCTGAATGGACCTCGGCCCAGAAACCTTTTGCTTTTTCACATGTCCACCACATATGGTAAAAAGAACCTTCTACTTTCTTACATTTCCAACATTTGTTTGATAAATTACTGCTTATATTTGCTTTTTTTTTTGGTGTCATATACCATCTATACATCATCTTATAACAATTCTCTCTTAAATTATTACATGTTGAAATTTTCATTGCATTTTTTCATAAAAATTCCCAGGATGACATAGATATTTCCTTATTCATATTAACTGCCCATTTTACCATCTGCTCTTTCACTGTTTCTTCTTCTGTATACCATTTTAACAATATCTTATACATCTTAGAAATCATCTTTTTACCTCCTTCCACCCACAAATTCCAGTCTTCTCCTTTATAAACCGGATAAGGTTTAATTACCTCCATTGGTATTATCCAGAGTGGTCTCTCATCTGAAAAGAACCTTTTATATTTAATCCAAGTGTCATATATCGTTCTTCTGATAAAATGATGTTTAAAAAAACTATCCATTTTTGCTTTTCCATACCATAAATAAGCATGCCATCCAAATTTACAATCATGCCCTTCTAACGCCAACAATTTTCTGTTATCTAAAGTAATCCATTGTTGCAACCAAGTTAAACATACTGCATCATGGTACATTTTAAAGTTTGGTAACTGGAAACCTCCTCTTTCTTGGTTTCTTCCCTGCCCATACAAATTTTGAAACCTCCTTCTGCCAAGAATTTAAGATCTTTGAGTCTTTCACTATTGGAATAGTCTGAAATAGAAACATCACACGCGGTAAAATTGTCAGGTTTCACCTGGAATCAACGGAGTCACTTTCCATAGAAAAGGTTACTTTATTGAAGCCATGGATCACTGAACAGGTCTCTGATTGGAATAACATAATGCGGAAGCACAAGCAACATAAAGGGAAATCAAAATCACTTTTAACCAATGATCATTATTCCCACCCTGATATCCAGAGCATTTTTGCGTGCTCATTTCATGAGAAAGCAACGGCCCCTGCTATTAGCAGCTAGCAGTTCCCATAGACTCTACTAATTAAAGCAAAGGCTAGAAACTCTCTATCTCCCACCTGTTGTCCTTGAGAAGAAAGCGGTTCCCCAACAAGCATAGTCATTACATCTTCTACGCCTGCGCAAGCAATTCTACAGTTCAGGCTGCATGGCGTTTTTAGCGTTTCTAAGTTCTTGTGGTCAGTCCACACCTCAAACGGCACCCTGGCCCCTTCCAGCCAATGTCTCCACGTTGACAGCACCAGCTTAATCGCGGCCGCTTCCTTCTCCCACACAGACCAATGTCTTTCAGAATCCGTGAACTTTTTAGAAACATAGGCTACTTTGATAAAGAGGATGAGACTTTAGGAGATCGCCATCTTGCTATTAGGAAGTGAGCACCGATTACTGCTTTGTATATATGATGTTTTAATATTTGATACTATGTATTATTTAATATTAATATTTTAATGTTTTATGGATGTACTATATCGGCAGTGTGCCTTGTAAGCCGCCCTGAGCCTACGGGGAGGGCGGGATAAAAATCGAAATAATAAATAAATAAATAAATAAATACTTCACACTGTGTTAACCTCTGTAATTCATCTTGCTTCGCTGCTGTCATATTTTTACACATCAGCTTGGATTTATTTTTATTTATATAAAATCCCGCTAAGTCTCCAAATTCTTTTATCTTTTCAATAAGCAATGGTAATTTTTGTTTAGGGTCTTCTACCAAAAACATTACATCGTTCGCAAAAGCTCTGTATTTATAGGAAAAACCTTTACTAGATAATCCTTTAACTTCCTTATCGTCTCTAATCTGTCCAAGCAGTATTTCTAAAATCCAAATAAACAGTAATGGGGACAAAGGACACCCTTGCCTTGTCCACTTCTGGACTTTAAAATGTTTAGTCATGTCTGTATTTATCATTAATGCTGCCTTTTGTTCCAAGTATATTGTCTTAATTATATTTATAAATGATTCTCCAGTGTCCATTTTTTCCCATGACCTGATACATAAAGCCCCAGTTCAAGTTGTCAAAGCCTTTTTCAGCATCTACAAAAAAGAAAACAACATCTTTTTCTGGATGTTTATCGTAATACTCAATTGCGTCAATAACCATTCTGATATTATCCTTTATTTGTCTATTTGGTAAGAAACCAGCTTGTTCTTCTTTTATAGTATCTTTCAAGTAAGTCTTCATTCTTTCTGCGATAACTTTAGCAAATATTTTATAATCATTGTTTAGAAGAGAAATTGGTCTATCATTTTTCACATTTGTTAAATTCTGGGCTTTTTTTGGAATAAGTGAAATGGTAGCCTCTTTCCACAAATCCGGTGTATTCCTTGTTGTTCTTATTTCATTTGTTAAGAGTTCCAAGATTGGGGTTAGCTCTTCTTTTAATTTCTTATAGAATTTTACTGTAATACCATCTGGTCCTGGAGCTTTCCCCAACTTTGTCTCCTCAATCGCCTTATATATCTCTTTTTTTAAAATTGGGCTATTTAACATTTTCTTAACTTCTTCAGAATTTTGGGCAACTCCAATTTATCCAGATATTTTCAAACTTTTTCTTGGTCCACCACCTTTTTCTGGAATAATTTTGCATAATATTTAAAAAACGCTCTCTTGATTCCATTGTGATCCACAATCTCTTTATCTTCTACTACTATTTTATTCTTCTACTATTTTCTTCTTCTTCTTCCTCCACATCCGTTTTTAAATTCTTTTCCTTTTGCTTCTTTTTTACATTAAGCATTTGATCCATAAATCTTTCCGCTTTTGGAACAGAGTCAATTTTATATTTTTTTATCCTGGTAATTAAACTCAACCCTTCTGGAAATAGTCATCTATACACTATTCCCTTTTTTTGCAGAGAGAGAGTAAGCATCCTGTATAGCTTCCTCTTTTTTTCTTACTTCAAATGGGATGTCTTTCAAAAATTTTATCTCTTAATTCTTGATTTTTAAGGATTTCCCCATGGTTGACTTTAGCACCAGTTCCCTGGTTGATCGTTTCGTGAATTTTAAATAAGTTTCCCCTGGGAGTTTATTTTTATTTATTTATTTATTTATACGTTCAATTTATAGACCGCTTTGACCCAAAGGTCTCAGAGCGGTTTACAGGCAGGTTGCAAGTGCAAATTTACTCCTAATCTACGGCCACATAGTACAGGGGGTGGGGCTATCTACTGGCACCCAGGTGGCGGGCTAGTTGTTCTTCCGGCTTTTCGGCTTTCTTTTTCCTTCAGGCGGCCCATTTTGGGGTCGGCGTCCCACTTTCTGGTGTTCAGGAGCAGGTCCTCCAGCTTGTGGTCTCCTGGTGCGCGGCCCCGTGTCAGTCTCGGCCCAGCTTATGTCCACATTTGGCTCCGCTGCGCCTGCGCCTCCACGTCACCGTGTCTTCTTTATAAAGTCCGGATAAGTCCTCTACGCCACATCCATTTCCTTAATCAAGTCTTCTTGTTTGTAATCCATTAGTGGGCCAAGGCAACCGCCAAGAGTTCCTTTAGATCCTCATTCTTATCCTCAGGTATTCCATGGAAACGTAGAACTTACATGGATCTTTCCAGCTGGAGCTGGATTAGTTGCGTTTTATCCGAGGATCTCTCCTTCTCTGCTTCATCCACTCTTTTATTAATACTCTCAGTCTGTTTTTCCATCTTTTTGAACGTTTTCTCAGTTGCTGTAGTTCTCTTGTCCATTTGCTTTAGCTGTATTTGCACATTGTCCAGTTTGGTGTTGAGAGTAGTCATCTGTTCCATTAGAGGGCGCAGTGCATTTGCTAACAGCGAAGAAAGGTCTGTAGATGCTTCCTGGTTCTGGGAGGGAGTCGTTGGTATGTTATTTCCGGTCACCAGTTTTCTCTCCGGCGCTCTCCGTCCTCTCCCAGCCATAATATCAACAAGAAGTAAGTTTTCAAAAAAAAAAGCACAAGTTATATGTTTCAATTCCGCTTCGTATATTTTAGCAGTTTTTGCATTCGTTTAACTTCTTATGCGCTTGGTTTGGCTCAAAGTCTCCTTATTTTTGCTTTAAGCCCATTTTTTACAGTTTACTCCTATGGGTTAAGACGCTGAACTGCAGGCTGTGGAAGGTTGGTAGTTCAGCAGTTTGAGACCTGAGTGCGCCGCATGACAGAGTGAGCTCCCATCTCTAGTTCCAGCTCCTGCCAACCTAGCAGGTTGAAAGCAAGAAATTGCAAGTAGATAAATAGGTACCACTTTAGTGGGAAGGTAACAGCGTTCCATGCACCTTGGTGTTTAGTCATGCCGGCCACATGATCACGGAAATGTCTTCGGACAGCACTGGCTCTTCGGCTTTGAAACGAAGATGAGGAGTCCTACTCACAGGACTCAACAAGCCAAACTTCCTCGTCATCAGAAACATCTGAATCGGAGAAAGGAGAGGCCGCTCCCAAACTGCAGAAAACGAAGAAATCTAAGAAGAAAAGACTCTAAAACTAAAGCATGAGTGCTAAGGGCAGTAATTGTGCCAAGCTAATAGCTTTATATGGAGCTGCGGTGGCTCAAGTGGTTAAGTCGCTGAACTGCAGGCTGTGGAAGGTCAGTAGTTCAGCGGTTCAAGACCCGGGTGCCGCAAGACAGGGTGAGCTCCTGTCTCTAGTTCCAGCTCCTGCCAACCTAGCAGTTCGAAAGCAAGAAATTGCAAGTAGATAAATAGGGACCACTTCGGTGGGAAGGTAACAGCGTTCCGTGCGCCTTGGTGTTTAGTCATGCCGGCCACATGACCACGGAAACGTCTTCGGACAGCGCTGGCTCTTCGGCTTTGAAACGGAGATGAGCACCGCAACACTAGAGTCGGATTCGACTGGCTTTCGAGCAAGGGAACCTTTACCTTTACATAATAGCTTTATACTTTTTATAATCGAACTGATCTCTGTATAACTGGTACTATTAAGCTTTTTAGATCGTGATTTGCATTAGTCTTTACCCCTTCCAGTAGGAGATTTAGAATAGAATGGTAGTTTTTCTTCTGCTTATCCAGTAGATTATATGTATTTAGACTTCCCTGATCCATTTCCCATAGTAATAGTGTTAGGGCATCAGTACTCCTTTCCCCATTCCACATATATGAAGTGTGTAGAAAATGCAAAAATAAAAAAATTCCCCTTCGGGGGGCCAAAAATTAAAAAAAGACCGTGTCAGAGGGCCATCACTTTATAGGACTGGTGCCTGCTTCTCAAGGTTACCCTCTTGGCGGTCCGTGTACTGGGTGTTTCCAGTGTCGAAGCAGACCTTCTGAGCCCCACCGCTGATCCGTAAACCGATTGGTCTCTCAGTCCTCGATATCTTCGGCCCATGTTTCGAGAGTTCAGTCGTCCGGTGGTCAATAGGTTTGCCACTGTGGACCATGCCAAGTGTGTTCGGTTGTTCAGCTATGGACGGCCGTCCTGGGGATCTGCAGGCAATGCCTTTCTCCATCGCTGGACAGGTTGCCACTTCTGTCTCCCCCCACCCCAATTCTTGTTGATTCCCAAAGGCTGGCCACACATTCTTGTCAATGCTTGTGACTCCATTAAATGGGCATGTTGACCAGCTGGTTTAAATAAAACCCCACCCACAGTGTGTGGTGGGGGGAGTGAAAACCATGAGGAAAGGGGCAGGGGACATGCGAGGAAAGCTGCCATCTGGAAACCCATTACCCCTGGGCTGTACTGACCGCTGCCAAGACACCAGGGCTTCCCTAGGTCAGCGTTCCCATGTGGAAAGCCCCCTCCCCCTTTCTAGCGTGTCGTATGTGATTTGACTTGCTTGCTTCAAGCCACTTGCAGGTGCCTCCTATTTGCTCTGGGGCATGCAATGGGTCTGGTCTGTGGACGATGCATAGCCGGGCTTCATAGCACAGAGAAGAGCCAGAGAGCTCTACCCGAGAACCCGGCTCCTTCTCACAGGGGTTGGCCCTAACAAGATTCCCAGGAAGACACTATTGGAGTCACTCCAAAGTATTAAAAACAACAAAAAAAGCCAACAACATTTCAAGTCTAGAAATAACAAAATAAGAGAAAGAACTGCCTGGATCTCCTGAAGAGAGGGAATTGGGGAAGATCATATTTCCCTTTGCAGTGCAGAATAGGAAGGGGTGCATGGGCCATGCGGCAGATCTACAAGCTCTTAAAGAAGTTTATTTGCAGTCCCTGCTGGCAACTCTGTAAATCTTCTGTCGAATGCCCATGAAGCTGGCAGGTGGACCTTTCTGAACCAATCCAGGGATGCAGCTGACCTGTCGGAATGGTTGCGTGTGTGTGTGTGTGTGAGTCCTGGCCCCACTGCTGGACCTCCTGAGGTCAGCCGGTATTTTTGGCCACTGTGTGACACAGAGTGTTGGACTGGATGGGCCATTGGCCCGATCCAGCATTGGCGTCTCTTGCATTCTGATGCCTCCCTTGTTGACTAGGCAAGCAGGACAGACAAAATTCTGATTTCATTTTCGGCGGGAAAATTCACCATAGAGTTACTCTCCAATGTGGAGCACCATTTTATCCATGTGTTAAAAGTGGCTGGGAGGCCTTTTGGAACCATAGTTTCTGGCATGTGAAATCTCAGGGATGCACGCTTGAGACCTGTCCACCAAACACCATGGGGGGGGGGGGCGGTTTGGCAGGGCTGGAGAGGAAATATGTTACCTTTTCTGTATCAAAACATGGAATTTGCTACCAAAAGATGTCGTGATGGCCACAGGCACAGATAGCTTTAAAAGGGAATTGGATAGATTCATGGAGGATGGATCTACCAGTGGCTACTATCCATGGTGACTAAAGGGAACCTCCATGTTCAGAGGCAGTAAATCTGTGAATCCCAGTGTCAGGGGGCAACATCAGGGGAAAGGCCTCAGCCTCTCTGCCCTGTTGTTCGCCATCCAGAGGAACGGCTCAGCTACTATGTGAGACAGGATGCTGGACTAGATGGACCCCTGGTCTGATCCAGCAGGGCTCTTCTTATGTTCTGAATAATCTCATCAAAATGTTCTTCAGCCTTTGTTTGCCTGCCTTAACTAGCCAACACAATAAAACAGGCTTTGAGGCATCTGCCAGGTAGCTCTTTCCCGAGGGATCAACCAGTGTTGATCATCCTAACTTCTGTATGTTGTCCGTATCTTCTGTTTTGCCCTGCCCTATTTGGAGGTCTTTGACGATTCTTTTCTTTTCTCTTGCCCCCATATTATACAACTGACACACAAATAACGTTAAGAAATGGATACTTCTTTCCTGGTAAACTTTCAGTGCAAGGACACAGCTGCTTGAAAATTAAGGCCTCAGACACCAGACAAGACACAAAATCAAAATGCAGATATTCTAATTAAACCGGCTGGCTTATAAAATTTGGTCTGCTCCCTGCTCTTTGGGCTTTAGCTCGAGGGTTCTTTTTGGCTTGTTATGGTGGGACTTCTCTCCCCCCTGCCCCCCTCCATTTTAACGTCTCCTCCCTCGCTGTGTCCCTTGCACAGGATATCCTAGATTGGAAAACCTCCCGCACGTTTTTCTATTGGAGGCTCCGGCGCCTTCTCCTGGAAGACTTGGTCAAAAAGAAGATCCACGATGCGAACCCTGAGCTAACTGACGGCCAGATCCAGGCCATGCTGAGGCGCTGGTTTGTGGAAGTGGAAGGCACCGTGAAGGTAAGCCACGGCGGTGGGCAGATTCCCAATGTGCAGGTTTCCAGTTCAGAACCCTCCTTGGTAAATGTCCAGCGTGTTCCTAAATATTGTTGAATTCTTGGAATGCTCCTTCTTCCATTCTTCTCATGAACGGCCGTGGCCATTTCCTACCACTTTCTCCAGGCGGTGAATTCATCTTGAGGGTGGGAGTCTTTTCCTAACGGAGACATTGCCTTCCAATCACTGTGTCTGTTGCAAAATATTAACCACATTAAAAACAGAGAGCAGAGGGAGAGAAGATGAGAAGAAAACAGCGATCTCCCAGAGCTGTTCTTTGGACTCCCTGTTACAGCCTTCTTGAATTGAAGAAAGGGGAGGGAAACACACACACCCCACGCACAAAGAAATACATAAATCAAAACCTGAGTGCCTGAGGGCACTGTAAAGGAAAGAGTACAAGGGGAGAAAAGTTTTTCCCCCCCCTCTTGGAGGGAGGGGCTCGGGGCTTTGTGAGGTAGCGTCTGAGCATCCTTTCTTTTTACAGCCGGGTGTCTAGTTAGCTCATACATTACACCAATCAAGGAGAGTTATCTTAAGCCACAATTAATCTGCTCCCTGGCATATGTTGATAGGAAAGCATCATGCTGTTTCTTAATTAAAGGCAAACGGATTAAAAATGATTAATAAGAGTATTAAATATTCGCCTAAACTAAAAGCTTTTGAGATTCTTGAGCAAATCCTGGCATCAGCCAGGTCTGCAGAGTGGCAGGCATTTACAGGTCTGGGCCAGAGGAGGCGGCGGTGGCGGCGGGGGCAGCGGGGAGGGGGTGCCTTCCTTTCTGGCTTGCTGGGAACGCCTCAATTGGTATGCAGAGGCCGTCGCGGCTGGCGGGAGCGGGAGCGGCGGGTGTGAGTTTGGAATAACGATCATTACAAACAATTGTTATTTTTTATGATTATGATTTCTTAACATTGCAGGCTCTTAATAGATATCCTCAGAAGATTAATGAATGGAAGCTTTGATTGCAGGTTAAAAATCTCTCTCCCGATTAATTGATGGGGCTGAGGTTGGAGGCCGTGGCCTGTGTCTCGGTGTCCCCAAAGCCCTGTGCCAAATTCAGTGAAAGAGAACACTTTCAACTGGGTGGGGGAGGCGTTGCTTTTGGGAGTTGGGACTGCCTTTCAGGGGGTGCCACAGCAGCGCTGTTTCCTTTTGGTTGGAATCCAATAGGCCAGCAGTGCTACACCAATACCTTTTACAAAGTTGAAGTCGATGCTGATTATCTTCCAGGTCTCAGTCTTCCAAAAATACTAGTGGGGTTTGAACTTGCTTGTTTTCTTTTCTAAAAACCATTTTTGGCTCTGATGTGTCAGTGGGGCAAGTGATTTCTGGGTTCCCAATTGTTATTAAATACAGCTTTTCCCCTGTGTGTTAAAGTGTAACGTACCCTATAGTTGAAACAATGCCCCTCTCCATAAGAGAGCCATATTGATGATTTGGTAATACGTGCATTCATATGAGTGTAATCAGCTGAAAGTCAGATCAACTCAAAACCCTGGTTTGGTTGACAGCCCCCTATTATTACACTATTAATTATACAATATCGTAATGCATGTATGATAATCCGTATTATGTTTTACTGATTTATTTAGATTCAAATGCTGCTTTCCTGCCATAAAGGCATTCAGGATGGCTTACGACCAATAATTGAAAAATGAACCGAAAGGGGGCTCCTTTGTGAATGGTCCCCCCCCCCAATGCAAAATGTGCACCCTCATCTCCGCCATTTTTTGAAAAGGCTTTGATGGGCCAAAGTGTTTTGTGTTCTCCTTGAACACAGTTCCAGGTGGTCAGCCGTGTTGGTCTGAAGCAGTAGAACAAATTTAGAGTCCCGTGGGGCACCTTTAAGATCAACGAAGGTTTATTCAAGGTGTGAGCTTTCCTGTGCCTTGCACGAAATCGCTTTCCCCGATGGCCGTGCCAGACTGAGGCTGTTGTGGAGTCTCAAGGTCAAAACCGGCACTTGCTCGGAAATGAATTGGTAGGCAAGCGTTGTGCGAGAGCTGCGGTAAGATCCGGATTTACCTGAGTGGTCGTATCCTGCACCTGGTCAGTTTTTCCAAACTGTTTTCCAGGGCAGCACTGTGACCCTGTAGTCACATCAGACAGGGTCCAGGCTTGTAATGCCTGGACTCAACCTCTCAGCAACCCTGCAAGGTAGTCACCAAATATATCAGTTTTCGTATGAGAAACAGTTTTTAATTTCTGCCTTGCCTTTTCTTCCGGCAGAGGAAGGGTGTGACTGTGTGGATCTTCTTCGTGGTCTCTGTGCTTCACACCAATGGGATCTAGTGCGCCTGCGCTGGATCAACCGGTGCTGTATCAAGCTCTTTTCAATGGATTTTTGAGCCCATTCCCTCAGGCAAGCGCAGGAACCCCACTGCGCATGCCCAGAGGGGTGGGCGCGGACATCCTGCCAGTTCTTCTCCTACCGCCGCGTAGGAAAGACCTATTTCAACTTACTTCTGATCAGCTCGCTGTAGCTCTCGCTCTCGGCCTCTCAGCTCTTTGCGCTTAACTCCGGATACTTTTTTTCTTAGTTTTACTTTCATTTTTGTCGTTTTTTAAAAAAAGATTTTTTCTTTCTCTCCTCAGCTTCTGAGGGGACTTTTTACCTCAGGCCTTTGGGCCACTCCCCCCCCCCCAGCTGTTTTTTCTTTATCTGCTTTTCTGCATATGGAGAAGAAGTGGGGATTTTTTAACCGCTGCAGACGCTGTGGAAGTAAATTGGCTCCTCCCGACGGCCATAAGCTTTGTCTCTTCTGCCTTGGGGAATCTCACAAGCCTGAGACATGTTGTCACTGTGCAAAGTTCTCCAATCAGACGAAAAAGAATAGAGTGGCACGTCTGAAGGTCGCGTTACTGGAATCTGCCCTCAATCCGACTCCCACGATGGAGGAGCCCCCTTCTACATCTCAGGCAGCCATCGACACCGACCGCTCAGCGTTGAAGCCATCGACATCGAAGGCTCTACAGTCCGTTCGTACACCAGCAAAGGCCAAGAGTAAGGCAAGTATGAAACAGAAGCCCGCTAAAAAACCTACCAGCAAGCCCGCCAGACCACCCAAAACGGCAAAGGAAGTCGTTCTTAAAGAAGCCTCCTTGCAGCCTTCTGTGCCTCCTGTGGCATTGATACCGGAGCCTCATACTCCTCCGCAGATACCACATGGTCAGTTGCTGACTTCTCCTGTCTGTCAACAGAGGCCCGACTCCATCGATATCGACACGGCGGAACTCATTAGTCACCAAATGGGTGCAGAGTTTCCCCCCGCTCCGTCTAACTCATCGGCATCGATGACTTCAGAAGCTCCCGATACCGACGGCCGTCGACATCGATTCACTTGCTCAGCCATGGAGCGTCACCCTCCATCGCCCTACATTCAACCGCTCGGTATCGAGGCCTCAGATTACAGGGATGCTTCTCGTAGACAGGCCATGCTTTCATCCCCAAGACGTCCAAGGACCAGGAGCCGTTCTCCTAAAACCTACAGGCCCCCTCCTCCACCAATGTCTTGGGATGAGAGGCAGATGCGATATCTATATGGCCCATACCATCCACCTATGCCATGGTTAACTCCTGCCAGCTATTCGGAGCGGGACCGTTACTCTTATCGCTCTGGCCACAGGTCCAGGTCTCCGATAAAGGCAAAACCTTCGGCCACTGTCTCAGCCCTCCTGTCATGGACCTAACTCAATTAGAACCAAGACCTCCTCAACTCATTATGGAGCCTAGGCCTCAGGTGCCTGCGACCCAACCAAGACCCACCATGCCTGCGGTCCAGCCTAAACCAATACCCCATCAACAGGACACTGAACAACAAGACTCCTCAGATGCTCCTGAAGATGACTCTGATTCTGATGCTTCAGAGGCTCCCACTTCTCCAGACCATACCTCTCCGAATCCTGATGTATCACAAGATTTACCAATATCTCCTTCGGATAATCTAACCACATACACTGATTTGGTGAAAAGAATGGCCAACTCTTTAGGCCTTTCAATTGTTCAAAAGCTTCCACAATCTACCGATTCACTTTATGATGTCGTTCAACTGGACACATCCTCCGTAGTGGCATTACCCATGTCCTCAGTCCTCCTGCAGGCGGCAAAATCGCCATGGCAAAAACCATCCTCTGCTCCGGTGTCTACTAGAAAATTAGATCATATGTACAGAATTCAAGATCCTGAGGCCGACTTTCTATTAACCCATCCTCAGCCGAACTCAATAGTCATCACGTCGTCTTCTAAATCTAGGAGAACACATTCCACACCTTCAGACAAGGAGGGAAGGAAATTGGATGCGTTTGGTCGTCGATTTTATTCCACCGGGGCACTGGCCATTAAAGAGTCAAACTATCTTGCATGTATGAGTCGTTACCAATATATGCTCTGGGAACAGTTCTCTGAACTTTTTTCACACCTCCCAGAGGATAAACAACAAAAGGCTAAGAAGTTGCAAAAAGAAGGCATGGTAGTCGCGAAACAACAGCTCACGACTACCAAGCATGTCCTGGAAGCATCCTCCAGAACCATGGCCTCAGCAGTGGCACTAAGGAGACATTCATGGTTACGGACCACCTCACTCCCGTTGGACACCACGTCACATGTAGAAGACATGCCTTTTGATGGTCTTGGACTTTTTAATGCAACAACCGATTCCACTCTGCAGGAGCTGGACAAGAGCATTAAAGCCTCTCGTGCGCTCGGGGTATCATCTTCCACCAGGCAACAACAACGAACCCATACCTGGTCCAGACCTTGGCAGAGGTGAACTCCATCTCACCAGTCTCCTGAAGCTAGGTGGAGGCCACGATCCTATTCAGGAAGTCAGAAGTCGACTTATCAGAAGCCCAAGTTCGGCTCAGCACAACAGCCCTCCCGTGGCAAACAGTCCAAACCCTCCAAGCAGGGTTTTTGACTTCCCTGTTCCCGAGTCAGCGCATACCCATCTTTCTCCGTTTC